AGTGTAAACCGGGCTTTCGATTGGAAATAATTCCACGTGCTTTCTTTATTAAGCGTCGGGCGAAGAGTTCAAGTAAATTTTGTTCTACTTTTCCGAGCTATTTTGAACATTATTTCTTCCTTGTACTCATAATGTAATTTTCTAAATGTATAATCAGTCATTCTATCAGTTCAATTTTGCGTAGACACAATATGCTCAATGCATTCTAAACAAAAGGTTACACCGTTCAATCTTTTCCTCTCTTGGGTGCAGTTGAATTTTAGCTGTAAGTCAGCGCTGTGAGTTATTTTTCTCCGATGGCAGTAGCTGCCTTAAAACTTCATCATATCTTTGAAACGCGTTCAGATTTGTAAGAGTTATTAGTTTCTATAGACTAAACTCTGAAACAGTGGTGGCGCTAGGTTTCCTCCGACAAAGGGGCTAGCACTTCCGACGGAGGGGCTAATTTTTTTAGAGAACGATAGGGCTAGGGGGCGACAAGGAATTGTAAGGGTACTGGAGACCGAAGGCGAGCGTTGCGAGCCGAAAATTCGGGGGGTCCGGGGGTACTCCCCCGGGAAAATTTTGGTGGCTACACCCATTAGATTGGCTAAAAATGCTATCAAAATGGTGTAATCGTGTTTTTTACTACGTTTTTTGACATATTACTAAGGGCACGTTTGCCCCCTCCCTTGCCCCTCCTAGCAAAGGGCAGGAGGGGCGCTTGCCCCCCCGCGCCCCCCTTCTCCGGCGTCCCTGGAAATTTTTTTTGAAAGCTGCCTCTAGATAAGCTTAAAACTACTCTAAATCTTTACAACTCATCAAACGTTGCCAATTCAAGTAGGGCCTATCTTTGGAAAGTATGAATTTAAATAAAAAGCAACCAACTGAACTTAAGGAAAACTGGAACACAACGTAACTTTATAGGAACAGACCTAAGCGGTGGAATACGCACTTCTACATATCGAAAATTCAAGTCCAAGAATCAAAATTGTTTCACAGAGCAATTCTACTCTTCGGGAACTTAGCCTTAAATCTGTCTACTACTGAGTCCAAGTCAAGAGCACTTCCACGGGCACGATGAATACCTAGCATCATCAGACTGTCTAGACGCTCGTCCTTCATAAGTGAGCGCAGATCACTCTTGATGAGGCGCATAGAGCTGAAGCTGCGTTCACATTCGGCTGAAGAGACTGGCAAAGTGCATGCGATGGATACAAGCCGGTGCAGCTCAAAGAAAGCTTCATTTAGCTTTTCCAAGTGTGCCTCTAGTTGCAGAAGTGTGCTTGGGCGGTGTTTTTCTTCTTTTCTTGAGAGCATATATTTAAATGTGGCAATTTCACTGCGTAGTGCACCAATTTCAGACTGAAAAAGCTCAGCAAAATTGACAAGAGTTGTTGGGTCCAAGTAGCTTTTCGACTTGGGGGCCAATGCAGTTATGCCTTTCATGATCTTTATGTTTTTTTCGTCAAACCGCTTGCAAAGTTCTGCAGTTGTTCTGTTTAGTATTTCTTTGACATTTTGTACGTAGCCATCAAACCCGCTTGCTACTTGAGGCTCTGAAGATGCTTCCACAACAAACTCTCGAAGAGAAGCAGGCGTTGCCCTCTTTCTTGGTGGTCTTTTTTCTTCCGGCAATTCCAAGCGATCCGCTGCTTCTTCGGCAGTATCCCAGAACTCTTGAATCTTATCCCTGCTTTGACAGTCATCCAGTTCATCTTTCAATGTTGCAATGAGATCAATGGCTTGACTCAAATCATTGGAGGGTTTCTGCAACATGTCAGACGCAAATTTGGCTTTGTTCAAGACGTGTCGGATGGCAAACAGGTATCTCACAAATTTCCTGTCAATCTGCAGAAGATAACCAGTAGCTTCTGTTCTGCGACCGGGGTTCGTATCTGTGTCAATCACATCCTGCAGGACTTCCACCAAGATATCCAACCGCTCCCAGAAAACATTGAATTGCTTCGCCTGGCAAGACCATCTCGTGTCAGAAACTTTTCCAATTTCCATCACATGAACCTTGTGATCCTCTTGGACCTTTACCCATCGTACATGAACGGTGCTGCTGCTCAGAAAAGAATGCAGGCTTCTGAATAGCGATATCATGTCTGCCACACAACTGATTGATTTCACAACATCGACGATCACAAGGTTCAATCGATGACAAAAGCAATGGACGTAGTAAGCCATTTCAGCACCGGTTTTCAGAGGAAGTTTCCTTTGAACGCCATTCAGGTGACCAGAAACAACAGAAGCTCCATCGTAGCCTTGCCCCACGCATGCTTTCATGTTGGCTTCGATGCGTTGCAATCGTTCAATTATTGTGTCTGAAAGACCATCTGCATCTAAACTTTGCGCCTCAGCAATGCCAATAAATTCCTCATGTATGGCATTCTCGTAGCAGTAACGGACTGCAACAACAAGCTGCTCTTTTTTGCTTCTATCTTTAGACTCATCTGAAAGGACGGTAAAATACTGAGCCTTATTGAGCTCACTTTTTATTTGCTCAAGAACCATGTCTTTCATAATGTCTAAGATGGCATTCTGTACGCTGTGGTGAGTATACTTTGCATTTTTCGGGCCAGTGCGGATTTTGTCAGCAACAACTGGGTCATGCCTTGCAAGAAGACCAAGTATCGCAAGAAAATTACCACAAGAAGGTCCATAGTCTAGAGCTTCTTTATTTATATCGGCAACACGAAATGAACCTCCAGTCTCACGTTGGGCAATCTTCCGCTGAGCAGTGAGAAGCAGGACTTCGCAAATCACTCGCATGTAATGCCTGTTGTCTTTAACCAGTTTCGAATAAGCGGCATCATGAAGTGTGGCAATGGTCTGAAAATTTCCAGACTTAACGTTTTCATAGTGCGCTTTAGCAGCTACACTTTGGGCATGAAGATGGCTGGTTTGATGTTGCAAGAGTTTGTTATCATTCACTTTGGTGCCATAGCATCTTTTCCAATTGCGCAAGCCTTGACTAACAAACGCTGGATCCTTCCGATTCTCTGAAAAATTACGACAGTGGAAACAGAAGATGGCATCCTCCATTTGCGAATACTCAATCCAGGGATACTTTTCATACAGCAAAGGTGTGAATGCGCGATGCTGATTGCCAATCAAATGTGTAGGGAAGGAAATATTACGAGGCTGCACAGGTCCGCCGTCTTTGGTTGAGGATATGTCCTTGGGGCCAGCGACGGATAGTGTAAGTTGCGGTCCTCTCGAATCTCCTTGAAGTGCTAAAACGAAAAAAATTATCCATCACACTTTGCAAACTTTTTTCCTGTTAAGTTCTTGGCAGTGCCCTATTTTATATCTGAGAAGTGCCTCTTTTCATTGTTTTAGACTTTTCTTTGAGCTTTAGTGCGAAAGAGGCTATGGGAGCCAAAGTGGCTGCTTATATGCAAAACTTTTCCGGGCGAGCATGCCCCCGTGCCCTTCTAGCAGGGTTTGCCTTCGTCTTAATTACATACCAAGGTGCCCTTTTTTCACGCGCCCTTCCACTTTTTAGTACCCCCCTACGCCGCTGGTTAATGGAGAGTTACGATTATATCTGATAGCTAGTTAGTATACCTTCGGCTGATAATCCTGCAGGATCAACTTCATCTTCCAACTCGAGTTCCAACTGTTCCAAATTTTCCTCGATATCCTCGTTGCTGTCGCTTTCATTTGCTGCTTCCACAATGTCCGACATCGACTGTTCGGCTTCCGAAATGGTGACGTAGTTGTCAGCATCTACATTCGTGACTTCGGGGTCCAAGCTAGAAGTTGTACCTGGAAGTTTAAACAAATGATTTACTACCCTGTTTTACATGTGTGAAAAAGATTATAATATCTCCTGGGAGATGGACAAAAAGGCATTTTTACTAATCAATCTTTTGTGACTCTTAATATCAAAATCATCCAAAAAATTATTTTTATTTGTAAATAAAACGAAGAAATTTATACGTCTAACAAGGTTTATTCCTCATCCAGTCATAGCCAGGTATATTTGTTTAAATATGTCGCAGTCGCAGTGAAATCCCATATTATATAGGTCCGAAAATAAGAAACTTTTAATTTCTGGAGAGCTAGGTTTCCT